CTAAGATTACAAAAATAATTAGTTTCTTCTTTTTGCCATAATCATACTTTAATTCTTGCCTCAATGGACCAAAAATAATTTGTCCAGATAAGAGGACATTATCTGTCAGTATAGGTGAATACAAAGCTATTTTAGCTCATCAACTGATGAGACGTACTGTGAAGTTTTGTTTCATTTATAAATAAAATTGCTTCATTCTTGTCCCTGCCTCTGCCTCCCTACATGACATAGGGTACTCAGGAACAATACACTACTATGCTGCTGTTTCAGTCAGCCTTGCCCTGAGCTAGAACTACTTCAGGGAGGCAGATTATTCCTTTAATCTTTAGCTGCTTGTGCTGGTTTTAGCTGGGGTATAGTTAATTGTCTTTTCAATAGCTAGTATGAGACTGTATTTTGGATTTGTACTGAAAACAGTGTTAAAAATCCAGGTATGTTTTAATTATTACTAAACACTGTTTACACACGAGACAAGGCCTTTTATGCTTCTCACCCCACCAGCGAGGAGGCTGGGAGTGCGCAAGAAGTTGGGAGGGAACGCAGCCAGGACAGGTGATCCCAACTGACCAAATGGATATTCCATACCATGTGGCATCATGCTCAGCATATAAAGACGGATGAAGAAGAAGGAAGGGAAGGCACATTTGAGATGATGGCACTTGCATTCTCAAGTAACCCTTACGTGTGATGGAACCCTGCTTTCCTGGGGATAGCTGAACATCTGCCTGCCCATGGGAAGAGGTGAATGAATTCCTTGTTTTGCTTTGTTTGTGTGCATAGCTTTTGCTTTACCTATTAGACTGTCTTTACCTCAACTTTTGAGTTTTCTCACTTCCACTCTTCCGACTCTCTCCCCCATTCCACTGGGGAGAAGTGAGATAGTGAATGCATGGTGCTTAGTTGCCAGCTGGGGTTAAACCATGACACTGCTCTGCTGGGATTGCTGTCTACAGGTCTCATGTGCAATACTGCCCACTGTAGAATGAATGCATATGAAATGATTCTCTGTACGTGTCTCACAGTCCACTAAACAACCATAAAATGAAATTAGTTTTTCTTCATTACCAACTCAAATCATATTCAAGTGAAAATATTACGAAAAATCATTCCTGATTATCAATTTTCTGACCCATCTACTATAGCCTGACTTGGAGCTTTTGTGCAATTGATGTAGGGTTTGGGGTTTTTTAAAGGCAGTAGTTTCTGATTCAAGCAAATAGCACCCGAGAAAAACTCTAAAGCTTTCGCCCTCTCTCCTTTGCTTTGAGTATGATAAAAAACTTTGATTATAATTTTAAATGTAAATGTTTACTCTTTAGTCATCCTATTGTATGTCTTTGTCCTTGTGTTATCTTACATACCTTCCACAAACTATCTTTAGGTTTCCTTTTCTAGTGTACCATTTCCATTATGAGTAAGCCTGAAGGAGAAGGTATTAAGATAAAATGTTTTCTCTGGTTTTGTCCACCACTTCTGTCTTTTAATTTATTTAGATATTTAATCTATACTTCCCGTTTTGCCTGAGAATACTTAAAACATTACAAAATCCTGATGTCTGCTTATTAAAGGGTATGATCTTCTGTCCTGTTCTACAAATTGGCAAATGATGATCTTGCATGAAGGCCTAGTAGATTTCATATAAACAGGTAGTGACATTTTACTCAATGCACATAGATAGTTTAGTAACTCTGAGATTAGTTCAGTTGGTTAGAGCATAGTGTTAATAACACTAAGGTTGTGGGGTAGATCCCCATATAGGCCATTAACTTCAGAGTTGGACTCGATGATCCGTATGGGCTCCTTCCCACTCAGAATAATCTGTGAAGGTGAAGGAGAATAATACTTTCATTGACTGAGTACTACACCAAGAAGGGATTTCTGCAGACAGCATAACTTGAGTTGAAAACAATGCACTCAATCTCAAATACATACAGCTTTCCAATGGCAACCATCAAAAGTTTTACGTTTTCCTAGAGGAACGCACATAAACATAGGGACCGATTAGCCTGGTGATGGATGGAGGAATGAGTAGAAGATGAGCGACTTTATAGTATCAAGTGAGTTATGCCAGATAATGAGTTTTTGTTTGCTTTTTTTTTTTTAATTGGTGATTTATTAGTTTTATGAAAAGAAAAAAAAAGGGATAGGTATAGCTTGCTGCCTTTCAAAAGAAAAAACCCTGCTCTGTTTCAAATTGGAAGCAGCATACAGCCTAATATTCCAGTACCTGGGAGAGAAATCCTTAGGTAAGATTCTTGTGCCAGGAGCTGGCAGCAGGGGCTACAGAGGTGGCCTCTGAGACCTCTGACTACCCTGTGCCAGACACAGCCCATCCCAACAGACCCACCACAGGGCACAACTGAACCTCTCAGCCACACTCATGACATTTCTTGGAAAATGTTCAAGAATCACCAGTAAGAGAGAGGAGGAGAGAATATAAAGTTTGATGAAGGCCACTGTCAGGTGAGGGGGAGGTGTTGATGTAACAAACCAACAAAATTAATTTAAATTTCTCCAGGTTGAACCTGTTCTGACCACAGCAATAACTGGTAAGTCTGGCTCTCCTCCCATCTGAGGTTCCATTTCCGACAGCTTGAGGTGGATAGGGAAGGGGAAAACTCCAGCACCAGGGGTTTCTTCAGTCCCGGCATGAGTTAACGAAGAGACTACAAAAAGCCATTTTGAGACATGTTAAAACCACAGTTTCTCATATAATGCAGATTTGCTGCTACATCTCACCCTTTCTTATTTCTTAAAGCTGAATATGCCTTTATTGATATATGGATTTTTGAATTTACCCCACTCTTAGTGTTTTAGGGTGTCCCTATAAAACAGAATTTCTATCAGTCAGCAATACATCAAGAACTGCATCAGGTGCAGTTCATCAGATTTAAAAGGTGCTTGCTGTTTTTTTGGGGCAAAACCAATAGAATTGATAGATATTGCAACTGGATGAGATAATATACACAGTTTTGTCTTCCAGGGAGCTTCTCAGTAATTTTGGTGCACCGGCCAAATCAGGTATTTTTGGCAGTTCAAAGAGGGGCCAGCTGAGCAGTGGTGCCAGCAGAGCAGTGAGTGTCATGTAGTTGTCATTCTTATTACAAAGCTGTTGGTCCCTCAGGAGGCCACTGGTGGACCTTAAAGCTGCCTTAACAACTCTGCGTTACTCTCAGCTTCCACCTTTCCAGATCGTGTTGCTTAGTGAATACCATGCCTCTTAAGTATTTTATGGAAGAGGCAAGTTTATAACAGTATTTCGTTAAGAGACCAAAAATAGTACAATTAATGTAAATGTCATGATTTCTTAGTCACTACTTTTTTAATATTGGCACAATAGATTTACACTTCTGTTTAATAGACGAAATGGACTTAATGCTGCCAATTTTATAGCTTTTATTAATTGAATCTAAAACATATGTTAAATAAACATATGGTTCTTTTCAGCTGTCTTTCATGCAAATAACAAGCAGAAATATTTATTTGTTTTCTCAGATATTAAATTTCTCTTGGCCATATTGTGCCTGTGGGTATAACCATGCTGAGGGTGTTTAAAATATGTTTTTATTTTCTGTAACGATTAATGTGTTAGGGAATCTACGGGAACTTGCCTGAAGAAATTTTTCTTTATAGTGACAGGAACAAACCCCTATTCATTGAAAGGATAAAACAGAACAATTTTCATTGTCTAAAGAACATTATAAATTAATGAAACTCCAAAGAGGGATCAGTTATTTTGTTTCAAAAAGTATTTGCTTGTATTTCTCATTAATAAAATATGAATTCAAGTATGAAAGTTGATAAAATTGATTTTGTACCAATCAACACATATTGCCTGCCTATGGCACTAATATTATGCTGATGTGCTCGGTAAGAGTGGTCTGAGATCAATTTAAAAACACTTAAAAGTAGTGTTCATGACTTTCAGCTGTGATGTTTTCAAACTGTTTGCTTTATAATTAACTAAGCCAAACTGTATGAAGAAAAAAATATTAAACCATGCAGATTTTCTGAGAAGGAAAACAGAATATTATTAGCACTAAAGGTATTTGTTATTCATCTGATACAATAAATTACGTAATTTTTTTTTATACAAAAATGCAACTATGGAAACGGCTTTAAGTTTTCTGAAATACAAAAACATCTGGATCTGGATGCATTTGGGCTATATTTAATTTGGAAATTGGTATTTTCTTGTCAATACGAATATTCAGATTGATAATTTTTTGTTTGTTTACCATTTTTTGTCATTTTTTTTTCATTTAGACTATAAGATCTTTATGATCAGCACCATGTCTTCACATACTTTTGTATTAACACAATGGTACTCTTATATGGATGAGAACTTCTAAATTCACTTGTAAGATCTCACTGTGGAAGATCAATTGTAGTGACTGTTAGCAAATTCTGACTTCCAGTGATCTGGGAAAGATTTTATTTTTATGTTTAATTTTAACCACAACTGAGGAAAAAAAAGGCAATGTGTAGTACAAATGCTAATAATTAAACTGATGCCAGTTTAAACATTGAAAATGTTTGTAGAAGTCTAACTGCTTGATGAGGTGATGTTCCCTGTTTCAATTTATAAAAACCAAACAAACCCAAAAAAACCTCCATGCAGGAAATAACACTCCAGTACCCAAAAGTTCAGTAATTTGTTGTAACTAGATTTTCTTAGAACAATTAAATTATCCCAGAACACATATTTGAAATTACTAAGAAATATCTATAACCCAAAAAGCAAGACAGCTGATGCAGCCTTCCACAAGGGCCCAGAGCAGTGCAGAACAATCACATGGCTCCTTTGTGTTTACTCTTCAAAATGTTAACAGGTCTGACAGGGATTTAAATATTTAGAGTAGAAATTAAATTTTTATAGTTACTATGGGGACTGTGGGGAAACAAGTAATAGCAACCTCACAGTAAAAACAGCTTTAGAAGACAAGTGACATTTAGTTCATACAAGGCAGCATATGCTTTGTCTCCTTCCTTCAGCTGTGGAAATACTCAGGCTTTGGCTCTGTTCCTACAAGATGACTACCCTCAACTTCAAGTTCTGTTCTCCTTGTTTACTGAAGTAAATCTGGAGACATCTCATTTATCAGGACAATTGCCACTGATTCACATCAGTGTAGGGTAGCAGAATTGGGCATTTACTTAGGTTGCAGTGCAGGGTTCTTGAAAACATGTAGAGTGAGACCCTTAATTTGCCATTTGTTTGAAACAGCAAACTCCCACCAAGGAAATTAGCACACGTTTGAATTTTTTTTTCTTGATAAAATTGCTGATTTTTTTTCTCCCTGTCTTGTCATTACTTGCCTTTACAGATCAAAGACTGCATAAAATATGAAAAATATGCATAGGAACACCAGAGTGAGAACATGTTGAGGCATACAGCTGTATGGCTCAGACCAACCATGGGTCATACGGAAGGCAATGCCTCCTGGAGCTCATTTGTCTACAAGGCTGTGCACAAACTCACACCTCACAGTGGGGTGCAGCACGGTCCCTCTGCACAATGTCTCTCCCTCGCTATAGCTTTACCAGTGTACTGCCCCTTACTCTACATCTTTGGAACAGCATGCAGCCTCAGAGAAGGTCAGCGGTTGAAGCATCAATTCTGTCTGGCCCATATGCTGGAAAAAAGGACAGGAAAAAAGACAAGGTGTGTTATCCTCCACACCTGAAACAAGCCAGCCGGGCATACTGCGGCTCAGATTTGTTGAGGTGTTCTTTTCATTAAACTAAAGATAAGCAACTCATAAAGAACAAATGTACTACAGAATTAGTCTTTTATCTTGCTGCATTAAAAAATGTTATTTATGTGTAACAGTGATCAAAAGGCATTGAAAGCATGTAAATAAATCGTACTACTGTTGTAGATTACTTTGGTTTCTAAGTTATCTATAAGAGCTACTTAGGATGTTAAATCATATTATTGGAAACTTTGTTAAACATCTCCTTATTTTCAGTTAATGCAGTTACTTTTATCCTTAAAACTACCATCAGAACTGCTAGGTGACTTATAGGTGATAGATATACATATATCAGATGGGCATTGTAGTTACGTACAGCTGAATCATTAACAGTCTAGTTAAATATCAAGAGCCAGATTCTATCAAGAGCTTAGTCACTCAGAGTCAAGCTTTTAAGTAGGGATAATTTGGGACTTGGTGCTTCTGTGGAGTAGGGTGTTGGAGTAGGGATACCATTTGCACCCTGCAGCAAGGGTAACACCATATTTAGAGCGCTAAAGTAACATCATGAATTATGTATGTGGTTTAGGTATTCACATAAACTGCGAGGTTTTATTTTGTATTATTTATTTTATATGATAACACTGCCTCTGCTATGAGAAGAAGGTTGCATGAGATTTTCTGTGTTTGCTAATTATATGAGATCATCTTCCTACTCACACAGGAAAAATCAAGTTGTGGATCAAATACATTTTAAATAACTTTGGCTTTGTTTGGAATGTTTTTCTTTGAAGACACATCTCGTATGCCAAAATCTGTTCTTTCATTGTTTGCAAACGTTATTTATCACTTCTAAGAAGGTTTTGTCATAAAGAACATATCTAAGTATTGTGTTGATTTTCATGGATGTAACCTCTTTATAAATATTGCAAATTTATTGCATAGTACCCAAACACATAGGAACATTGACAGCTCCTTTTCAAGGAGGGAAAACTGAGGAATCCATTGACAAAGGCCAAAACTATCAAGTGGCATCTGAACTTTTCACACTGACTTGATAAACCTACTCTTATGTTGTGGGCATGTTGAATTTTTGGGGATTTTTTTTGGGGGGGGGCTGGGGGAGGTTTGGGAGGGGATTGTCTTTTTTGTTTGTTTGGTTGGTTTTTGCGGTTTTTTAATTTTTTTTTCCCCTTGATAAGTTAATAATTCTGCAGTTCTGCACATGTTCAAAATTGATTCTGGTTACATTTGGATGCAGTCATGAATTCTCACTAATTCTACAAATGCAGTTCCAGATATCTCATACTAGGCATAGAGAAAAGGAGGAAGAAAAGAATAATGATAATTCATGTTCCACTTGCTAAGCATCCTGTTCACGGACAAGGTTTCTGTCTAGTTGTCTATACTAAATTTTTCCTAATTGCAAAATAGTCTCTTTTCGTGTCCTTGAGGGAATTCCTTCCATGAATTCCATCTTTCTCAGTCACAGCAATGACTGAAGCAGAGCTTAGATTGTTCTCTAGTACACAAATAACATTCATTCTCAGAATTCTGTTTTTATGAAGTCATATCTGAGTAGTTAAATTGCAATTAAATATTTACAAATACTTAAAGATTGCGAGTGAAAAGCATTTCTCAAAAATGTTATCAAGTCACCTCCTGGATATGAACTTTATAAAAAAGAGCATTATCATCTAGAAAATGATGAGTTGGAAAGAAAAAAAACGAGTAAGGAAGGAAGGACTAGAGGAAACAAACACAATTAAAGAACTATTAAAAGAAAGAACAAATAAAAATTATTCTTTAACAACTTTTTAAAAGAAGAATTAAAACTGATGTAAAACACAGCACTGTCTGTGCTGACTGTTAGCATTTAATGTGCATCATCAATTTGCATTTAGGCAGCTTTACTCCATGGCAGAGATTGCAGGTAGCTGAAAATAAATAAATAAATAAATAGGGTTAACTAAGGAATTTGAATAATAATGTCATTATTTATCAAATAATTTGACAAATAGTATTTTGACTGCTGCAGAATTGGTTTACTATCATAAGAAGTATTTGTTGAATAAATTAGTCAATAAAAATGACAAAAATTTAGTGAGTAACGCATTTGATAAATAGTATTTAGCAAGCTCAACTGCAGACATAATTTTATTTTCTGAATCCTGTATTAAGTAATTTTCTTAAAAAGCAGAAATAGTCAATTTTTTTCCCTCCAACTCTCCTATGGTCAAGTGGGAACTGCTGGTTTTGTTTCTTGCAATACTGTTCCTCTAGTTGTACGTGAATGAAACTGAAAATTAGATACTTGCCCTAGGAAAAACATATCTGATAGATTTCATGACATTAAGGTGTGAGGGACTGGAAAAAGTTATTAAAAAGTTATAAATGACTCAAAACAACCCTGGGTGGGGAGGGCGCATGACAACTTCTGCCAAGTCAGGATGCTGCACTGCCCGACCATAAGCCTTGAGCCACTGGTGCACCATTGGTGCAGCTCTCAGTACTGGCACACCAGGAGTGCTGCCCCATCCCCCCGACCCTGGAGCTTTTAGTCCAACACTGTGTTTTCTGTTGATTAAATATGTGTTTTAAACTTTTGTCAAGTTCTCTTATTTTCCAAAGTTTGCCAGTAAAGTGTGTTATTTTGACCCCCTGAGAGGTGTCGTAACGTCTCTCCTGTGGGCGTTCTCAAGGTATGAAAGAACTGAAGGCCCCTTTTAATGAATCCATTGGACGAGTTTTGGGAGCCTTATATATTTTTGATGTAAAACCCCTTCTATGAGCTCATGATAACAGCCTGGGATGTTACATAAGGACAGGAAAGGTTTCATCTTAGGTTTAAAGTTGTGACAAGTTTTTGTAGTGTTCCACATTTTAAACATAGTGGAAGTTGTTGCTTAAATTCAAAATCCAATTTTAATTGCACCTCTTTTCTTTTTGGTAAATGCACAATGATGATTGTAGACATATGCAGACATACTAAAAGCACTGTTTCTTACCATAAAAATCAAACATTCCAATACAAACTAGAAATGAGGATTGCATGAAAATAAAAAAAACCAAACCCCTCATGTTTAAAACTTACTTTATTTCAAATTGACATTTTTAGTGTCTTTAATTCAGTACAGTTTTGAGCTACTTCAACTGAGTAGGTGATGAACTTCCATTGCTCTTTTCTGTGTGTGTGTCCTTTCTTCCTATAACCTGACAATAACAATTAATTCTCTCAAAATGTTTAGGAGCAACCCTAGAAAGAAAAATAGAAGATTGTGTTGGTTATTTGAAATCATACGCCATCTTCATTCTCTCTCTATGAGATATTTCAAAGATTTTTCCAAGACATTTTAAAATCAGCTCCAAAGGGACGTTATTTAATGCCCTTATGTAGGAGGTCAGTATATCTGGCTAATATTGTTCTCCCTTTACTTTTCAGATGTCCTAGTTAGAGCTTGGAGGCATAAAAAATATGAATTCAGGAAGAGATGTAGATCAGAAGAAGAAAACAAATGTCAAGACTGAGAAGCCCCCATGGCCTTGCAGAACTTGAAAGGGAAGGGCAGGCACAGCAGCAGAGATTCTCTGTATGGGTCTTCAGGCACCAGCGGTTCCTTAGTGTGTGCTGTACCCTACCTGAACCTCATGTTTTAGTTTTTCTGCAGACTGAAATATTTTGCTTGCTAAAGTTTTTTCACCTGATAGAACATATCTGAATGAAACCTAGTGGTTTTTGATTTAAGACAGGACAGACAATGTAGTCATTGAAATTTCTAAGGAAGGATGGCACAGCAGGGGTTAGAGATGAAAAGATGTTTTTGAGGCCTTGGGCTGCCTGTGTGTCTGGCTTATGCTGCAGCTCCCTGTGGGCTGCTTGAGACCCTGCAGAATATTCCATCTTGTTTTACATTCACATCTTCTTAGGAAGAAATTGTATCTGTAGGATCATGCAGTGGTACTGCTGGATTCAATTTGTATGATACGACGAAATTTCCAGAGGAATAAACACTTTGTGCCATCTTATACAGAAGGAGCTCAGTTCTGACATTAACTGTGGAAGGATGAAACTGTATAAAGAATCTGTCAAAAAATAAGTATATTTTGCTGTACTGTAGTGATATAAGCAGGATGAAATACTGCCCTCTTTGCAGTCAATGAGATATTTATGCTTGATTTAGTAAAGTCGGGAGGTCACCACACACAGAGCTAAATCAGATGTTAAAATAAACCTTTGTTGTTCTTTGGATTCAGCAAATATTTTAACCATCATCTAAGTTAGATAAAAAAATTGACAGTGTGCATTTAAACATCTGCTTGGATAGTTTAACCGTTAAGACAGAAACATGTTTTAGTACTCCAGACTAGTGAACATGGAGTGAAAAGTCCTAATAGCAACAACTCTTAATTTCTTTGTGATACACAGAAGTATATTTTACCAGTTTCCTCATGTTAGCTTAAACAAAATAATGAACAAACTAACAAAACCAACAAAACCAGATAAACATTAAATACAATACCCCCAAATAAACTATCTAAACCCTGCCTTTACTCCTTAATCTATAAACAATGCTGCATCAGGAAGCAAATGAGAGAGCAGCTGCCATTAACCCTGCGTGTGTTGCTAGGTCTTAGCAGTATTGGTGTATCAAGCTGCTGCATGTGCTAAAGCTGCAATGCTTCTGGCATAGGTCCAATCAGGTTTAGAGTGATGACAAGGGGATTCATTGGCCTGCACGATTAGATGACTGCACACCTTTCAGCTGTCATCGAATGTAACAGTTCTGATGAATGTCACAGTCACATGTAAGCTTGTGGGGTGTGTTATCTCACTTTCCCTCTCGCTGCATATAGAGCACATGAAGTGAAAAATATCCAGAGGACCTCTTTGAGTGCAGAAAAGAGTCACCACACTGTTACTTTTTTTTTCTTTTTGTTGAGCTGCAGGGTTAGGATGTCCGTTTATTTCAGTGAAGAAACTAGGGATTTAAAATAAAACCTCCTTAAATTTGGTGTCTTAATTACTGAGTGCATTCACATGTCATCTCTGATTTAACTACAGGTAGTCCCCCTTCTAGCTGTCATGTTGTGCTTTCAGGATAAGTTATACCAGTTTAGACAAGTTTGTTTTCCTCATGTGCAGCTACTGAAATTTAGAAATGAAGTAACAGATTCAAACCAGTGAAAGCTGTTTAATTTTGTTAATGAAAACTGGAAGTGTCCCACATGTTATGCTTTTGAAACTGTCATATCCTTGCCCAAAGCTGAAGTCATAAACTGCGCAAAATGCACTGTATGGACTTTGAAAGGGAGCCACTCTAACGCAAATAGCATATATATACGCCACGGTCAGACAGCAGGTAATATGTTTTTATAGCCGTGTCACAAAGACAAAAAAAAAGTTAGACATTAGTTTTAGACATAGACAGTGAACCAAGGACTTTTGCCGTTAAAGTCTATGTCAAAACTTCCACTAACTTGAGTTCTGTCAGAGCAGAGCACTGACACCTTGCAATTCCAGAACAAATTTCAACATTTTGCTGTTTCAGTTGCATTTTCCACCTAATGTTTCTGCACCTTTGATTATAAAGGTCCACTGACTTTTTCTCTCTCAGTTGGTTCAGAAAAAGCATCTTGTTAATGAGAACAGTAGCTTTGAGTTTTCAAGCATAGTTTTTTTGCAGTACTGTTCTGAACCTTTTTTAAATTATATTATTAAAGTTTGTGCCCTGACTGCGCCATGCCACAGAGAACTCAATTTGTTTTACACACAGGGTGATGAGAGAACATTAAGAAGGAGATATGAAAGCTTGTGAGTGTCAAGACCAAAAAAAGGGAGAGAAAAGTGACACAGGGTAGTCTAATGGAGGAAGGGTTGAAGGAGTGAAGGGCAAAGCATAGACTTAAACCAAATGGAAAGAACAAGAAGACATAGGAGAGGATATGTCAGAGAGGCTACCTTTAATCCCAACATACCAGCTAACAAATTGAGTTTCACTCTACACTTACATGGCATGTAAAAACATATACATGTAAATATTTTAATGCATGTAAATACATGTATTAAGTAATAATCAAAGAAAAATGTGAGTGCATGCAAATAGGTAAAAATATTGACATGTAAAATATTTACACTGACTCCCTTTCTGCAAGAAGAGGGGAAAGAGAGAGAGTGAGTGACATGGCATGCCTTACATTTCTCATATGAAGATGAGCACATTTTCAGGGTCTGTTGACATTTGTGCAAAATGGTTGTTTCATAGGAACAAACGGAAAGCACAGATAAAAAGAGGCTTAGAACTGTGCCTCTGGGACAGTCCAAGGGTTGATTTGGCCACATTATATTATAACATTTAGGAACAAGTCCAATGTGTTTGCTCTGTTATTTCAAGGCAAAAAAATTAGATTTTATTACATGAAAAGAACACTTTCTGGAATATCTGCTGATGCTCTAACTTAACAACATGAACTCCCCTGTAGATTAAAATGTAAATTTTATTGAGCAAAATCAGCAATGCACAAAAGAGTAGGCTTTCCACTTTCTGCAGAAACCCTGCAATTAATCCCTCAATACCTTCAAGCATCCTATTCTTACCTCCCCATAAAATATCAGAGTGTGGTCAGCCCTTTCCAATGTTAACTTTTGAACTTGAGATGTCTTCACACTATCAATTGTTGGTCTAAGTGATTTTGGTAAATTTAATTCAAGCCTATCATCCTGAAACATTGTGGACTCAGCATGATGGGTTTGGTTGGAGTAGAGTGGCTGGTATGGGGCTGTGTTTTGGATTTATTCTGAACACCTACAGTGATGTTTTTGTTACTGCTGAGCAGTAACAAAAACAAGCAGACAAGGCCTTGTCTGCTTTTCATACTGCCGCGCCGGCAAGGAAGTTGGAGATGCGTGGGAGACTGGGAGGAGACACAGCCAGGACATGTGACCCAAACCGACCAAAGGGATATTCCATACCATAGGACATAATGTTCAGTATATAAAATGGGGGGAAGAAGGAAAAAGGGGGGGATGTTTGGAGTGATGGTGTTTGTGTTCCCAAGTAATCATTGCCTGTGATGGGGCTCTGCTCTTCTGGAGGGGACTGAACACTCACCTGCCCATGGAAAGCAGTGAATTAATTCCTTGTTTTTCTTTGCTTGTATGTGCAGCTTTTGCTTTCCCTATTAAACTAGCTTCATGTCAACCCACAAATTTTCTGCCTTTTACCCTTTCAGTTCTCTTCCCAGTCCTGCTGGTGGGGGAGTAAGTGAGTGGCTGTGGGGGCTTGGCTGCTGGCTGGGGTGAAACAATGACAGTTCAACAAGACCTACTCAGTAGCTACTAACAAGGAAACAGATATGGTTTGTTGTTTTTTAAATATATGAAAGTTAAAAGAAAAAGCTAATGCAATCACTGTAATGGCATAAGAGTTGAGAAATATAAGACGTACACTAACAGCTTTCTTACTATTCTTAGGTATGTTTAGAATCAGAGATTAATTTGCTACTTTAAATAACTCATTTATAAAAAGTTTACTGAAAGGTGTTTCTTGCATTTGCAACTGAGAGCCCTCCTGTTGTTTCTGATGGAGTTTATTCTCGTAGTAAGGGATTTTAAATAGGTTATTAATATAAGCGTGAAACATAGACCCTTTGAATTAACAGAGATTGTCACATTCAAATATGACACTTGCAGTTTTTTCTGTTTTATTCGTATTACCCCAGGAAGTGGAGACCATTTTAATTCTGAATACTGACAACTAGTGGAACAGAGGTGAATAATGTGTTTCCTAGCTAATCTGAGTGAGGAGCTGCAGACATGATGCACAGTATTTTGTTTTCTTGCACAAGATCTCTGGGCTAGATTGGGAGATGTCATAACTACCAAGCTAAGGCAGGTGGTTATTCTCCGTAGGTTTCCTCTACAAGCAAATTAGAGAGAGGGGGATCCTTTAGATGTTAATCCAAGGAATATTTCTTGTAGGTTCCTTAATAGTACAATAAATATCTCAAATGACTAGAAAACCACTAGAAAAACTACTTAACTCACTTAGCTTTTTAGTTTGGTGCCCAAAGTCAGATGATATGAAAGCTCTTGCATCATGTGTAAGATGTTGGATTCAAATCTAACTGAATTATTGACACAGCTTGGATCCAACTCACTGTGAGTGAGTATGTGTGTGTGGGGAAGGGGCCCAAGGCCTCCTGAGAGCACATGGCCTGCAGCCAATGGGGCCAGGCCCCAGAGAGCACATGGAGAGCTGGAAGGGCTGCAACCAACACGGCTGTGTCCATGCAGAGCACATGGTATCACTGGATATAGCTGGGCTGTCAGTCAAGGAAGGCCTGTCTGTAGCCCGCCCACAGCACGCCCCTGGAGCCAGCGATGGCTACGGCACACCTCCCTGTGGCCTGAAAGGCACTGAGTGGTCAATGATTGGATATCCTGTGTTGGAGGGAAAACCAAGCAGTATAAATACAGGAGGCTCCATATGAGCTGTCTCTCCTTTTCCCCTTCTGTTCCAACCTGCAACATATGCACCATTGAATCATTTCGGTAACTACTTTTCTTTCCTCACTCTCCTTCTCTTTTTCTCCTTCTTTCTTTACTCTTTTAGTCTGTTTTCTTCTTTACTCTTTTCCTTCTCCTGTGAGTAACTTAAAACCAGTGAACTGTGTTTTGCTAAAGCTGGCATATTGATTATTTGTAGTGAGTGTTTTCTGTGGAATGGGTCTTTGTGCTGGCTGTTTTAGCAAAATATTTTTCTTGGTTGTATTTTATTCCTATAAAACATTTTACCAAAATGTCATATTTTTCTCACTAAATTAAAAGACATTCTCTTAGATAAAACGTAGCTGCGTTTTGTCCGGACACAAACTCGAGTCTATAATGAACCAAAAGGCTTTTAAAAAGCCTTAAATAAGTGTAATCACTCTGGGCAGCCTACGGCTTAAAATCTGGAGTGTACCATTATGCTATCTTTAAAACATTGTCACTGCTTCACTTTAAAGCATGGACAACAAAAGCATAGGTACAGATGCAATTTAGTGTCATCGTAGTCTGTATGATCCTAATAGTAATATCTCTGTACTCCAGCTGTGTCCCCACAGTTTTGCTAGGAAGAATTACCAATTTTGAACTGCATGTTAAAAAACCATCTGGACATAGTCCTCTCTAGAACCACCACCTCCACTCTAAATGGCCCTCCTTGAGTGTGCGAGGTTGGAGTCAGACAAGATGATGCCCAGAGGTCTCTTTCAACCTCAAAAATTTTGTGATTCCATGAATCTTAATTTCATGAAAATGCTTGTGGTTCTTATTTAAATGTTATGAAATAATAGTAATTTTGATTATATATTAAAACACATCACCTGAAGACTCATGAAGGTCTGTTCTTGGATTCATAAGACCAAAAAAACTACTATTGCATTGTTTCCACCTATGTTTTGCTGCTAACTGCAGGTCACTAAGGATAGATAATGTCCCCATCTACTGAAAAACAATGAGGAAATGTTGCATGCACATCTTGACTGCTTCTGCTAAGCTACATGCAGCGCTACGGGCTGTGGACAAAGGGGCTGGAGAACATCCAGGCAGAAAGGGACCTGGGAGTTTGGATTGACAGGAAGCTGAACATGAGCCAGCAGTGTACCCAAGTGGCCAAGAAGGCCAATGGCATCCTGGCCTGGATCAGGAACAGTGTGGCCAGCAGGACCAGGGAAGTGATTCTTCCCCTGGACTCAGCACTGGTGAGGCCACACCTGGAGTACTGTGTCCAGTTCTGGGCCCCTCAGTTCAGGAAGGATATTGAGGTGCTGGAGCAGGTCCAGAGAAGAGCAACAAGGCTGGTGAAGGGACTGGAGCACAAGTCCTATGAGGAGAGTCTGTGGGAGCTGGGGTTGTTTAGCCTGGAGAAGAGGAGGCTCAGGAGAGACCTCATCACTCTCTACTACTACCTGAAAGGAAGTTGTAGCCGGGTGGGGGTCGGTCTCTTCTCCCAGGCAACCAGCAGTAGGACAAGAAGGCACGGTCTTAAGCTCTGCCAGGGGAGGCTTAGGTTGGATATTAGGAAGAAATTTTTAACAGAGAGAGTGATCAAACATTGGAATGGACTGCCCAGGGAGGTGGTGGATTCTCTGTCCCTGGAGGTTTTTAAGCTGAGACTGGATGTGGCACTGAGTGTCATGGTCTAGTAACCACGGCAGTGTTGGATCAAGGGTTGGACTTGATGATCTCAGAGGTCTTTTCCAATGTGGTTGATTCTATGATTCTATGTCTGATCAAGCATTGCATTATACGTTAACACCAGCTTTTAAATAATTTAATGATCATAAAGTTCACTGTATACTACAGAGACTGAAACACAAAAATTAAAAGTATTTTGTACAATTTGAAAATATTTTTGGGGCAATATCTTGAATTAAATATATTAAGTGCATGGTAGTAGTTAATGCTAACATCCTAGCATGAGCAACCAGGGGAAATAGAGATTACATAGAAGATATATAACTGTTACACAAAGCTATTTACATTTCTTTCGAGTCACTTGTAATATTTATTAATAATAAAATCTACTCAGTTTGAGCCATTTTTGCTTGTGAATTTGCAGGGGTAAGATATCCATGTTCTGCATTCCTGAACAGCAAAGACAACATTCATGGTCAGGCAATAAAATTTCAGTTTTCTAATTCATGGATAAATTAGTGAAACTCACGGCACTGGAGCTTAATGACAAAAAAAAAAGTGTGGCTAATCAAGTGTATGCTGTTAGAAAGAAGACAAAAATAGTTGTGCTTGTTGAGGTTTTTTTCTCTTTGGCAGGGAGGATACAATATATTCTGACTTTACAGGATAAAATATATTCTTACTTCACAGAGGAACTAAAAAAATTTTGAATGATGCATGAAATAAAAAAAAAATCTGACCTACTGCTTAGAGAAAATGCAGTCAGCATTGTGCTTTCATATTTGGGAGAGCTGTGTCTGTTAGCTGTGAAAAATACACTCTGACAGAATACAAAAAGCTCAAACATCTTCACATTAAAAGCCTACCCCTAACCCATATCACAATATTTTCTGCTTTCTTTGCCTTCCTTAGGTAGTCAATAGCTTGGAATCACTGTAAAACAGAAAACCTTCTTTCTTACAAAAACTCCAACTCTCCAACTGCCCTTTTTCGCCTTGAAAACGAAAGGTAAAATATAGAAAACTTATTTCAGTTGAACCTTGGAAAAGTCTTGAGAACTTCTCAGTAATTTCTTCATTTATGTCCTTTTAATTTGGCTATTTTTCTACTTTTTTTTCGCATTTAATCCATAAACTGGTTTGTATAAAAAATATAAACTAGAGTTGGAAAAATTAGAAAGGTCAGAAGACAAAGAAAGCAGCTTCTCGAGGAAACAGCTGGAGTGCTTTCAGTGGCAGAGAATGTTCATGCTGAAAATTTGGTGGCAAAATCAATAGTGGTAGGAAGATTACACTTTTACCACTTTAATGATCATACATTCAGCAAAAAGTTTAGAGTTCTAACAGAATTATCAGAATGAAGGTTCCACTGGAAAAAAAAATCAGTAAAATTTCTATCAAAGGCTTTGGCTTTTATTTTCTGCACTCTTATGTGGAGAAGGTCTGCTTATACATCTGTCAGGAAAGTATTATTCATGATTAGAGACCATGTGGTGCAATAGAAACATGCTTATGATAAATTAGATTCAGACTACTAGCTAGGAGTAAAAAGTGCATGGGGCACTTTTGTAATTGGCATGTGAGAGTTTTGCCAGCAATCAGATCGCAAATTTTCTGTGGCTTGTACTGGTACAAAAGTAGTGAATAAAGCAAAAGAAAGACTCTTTTGGGAAACCAAACCTTGCATCTCTGGCTAGCTTTAATTAATCTATTCTTACAAGTCAAACTCCATCCTTTCATGCAAGCCTAGTAAAACACCAGATCTCTATGTACTGCCTTACTCTTGCATCTTTTTCCTGTTCTTAAAGGAAATGTGTGCTTCTCCACATACATATAGGAAAAACAGGAAACATCTACAAAATAATTCAGAAATAACACTTAGTTCATGAAAATTTATGTCTATTTTATAGTTACTCTGCAGAAAAATATGTAAATCTCTTTATGAGAAGAAATCATTGTGGTTGATCTACCAGTATTTACTGAAGAGAGTTGCAAGGAAAAAAACATTGCTAGAATTTCTGTCATCTTTGATTTATCAAGTAGTCTGTGATGCTTCCAGGCATTAGTTACCCTTAACTGAGAAACTTGTATAATAATTATTTAGGAGATTAATATTTTAATTTTATGAATAGGCAGTTTTGTTTTAAGATGTATCTTATAATGTCTATTGGTAATAAGTGAAAGTCCACTCAAAAATATGTTAAAAAGTTGTTACAAATAGAGACTTTTTTTTGTCTTTTGCTATCCCTGTGTTGGCTGTTATTGTGAGTTTACTTGTGTCTTCTCAATTAGGGCCACTATATGACTAAATATCAAGCAGATAGGAAGTGAAAGTCCTGAACAAGATATTTTGAGAGAGAATTTGGAATAGAAAAACGTAGATTTTGAAAGATTGAACATAACCCTGAAAAATTTCTAATTCCTTTCCTAAACTGTAGGAGGCGAAATGGGGGAAATAAAAGAGGCTCAGAAAGACAGAGATACAAAGAGCTTTTCCTCCACTTGCAGAAGGATGGATCAGCTTGGCTCTTCACCTCTCTTATTTAAGGATAATATGAGTCTGATATTAATGCAGAAACTGAACCCATAAACATCAGAATAATATTGACTCCAAATGAATGGGAGCAAAGTTCCTCCATTGACTGCAAGCAAACAAGCTGAATCAATGTCAGAAGTTTCTTGTGCTGTTTCTGCACATTGGGAGATTCCAAATCCCTCCTTTAGACTTTCTAGATTTTGACTATCCATAACCTGAACCTCTAATGTCTCAGTTATAATAAGGACAATGTAGATACTATAGGACTCATCAAGACAAGAACAGAGATACTGACAAAAGAGAGTCAGCATGGTTCAACAACAGTTTATTAACTCTGGCTTAGTACAAAATATATGTGACATAGGTTGGCATTTGCAAATCCATGTAGGTGTTTCTGCACTGTGTTTCTTATAGTCTCAGTCCTGGGGAGACTGACCAGCTTCAGTGCTTGATCAGTTCTTACCACAGCACGTCTGCCCTTCCACTGTAGCTTAAGTAGAGCTGAAGTGAACACTGGAAAAAAGCTTGGCCTATTTTCAGAGGCAGTTAAGATTCATCTAAGCTTATTAAAGGGAAACTGATGTGTTATATTGATATTTCTGTAAGTACTTTATCCGAGAATGTAACTCAGTATTCAGTATAAAATGAACAACAACACAAAGCTACTGCTAAGGAGATCT